GGGACCTTTCAGTCCGCAGGCCAACGCTCTATCCACTGAGCCAAACCGGTTTCGGCAATAAAAATATTTTTTAAAAACACAAACTAATGCCCTGTACATTCTAAATGGGCGGGTTGTATGGTGTGTGAATTATAGATCAATAGAGCTGTTAAAATATACCCGAAAAACCATGTTTTGGGGGGCTCCCCCCCTCCCCCCCCGCACACAGCCAGGCCTGCCAAGCAAGGTTGTGATGGGACCCTGAGTCTCAGCCCCTGACCCCTATGTGGAACCCCCCAATAGGGTGGGACCAACAGGCTGCCAGGAAACACTGGTTCGGGTGGGTGTGCCCTGGGGCCTCCCCGGGCGCTGCTGCCCTCTGCCTGCCCTTGGGCCCGTTCCCTGCGCCAGGCGTCAGCGCCTTCCTAGCGTGGCCAGGGTGGCCCAGCAGCCCGCGTGGCCAATCTCGAGTTTGTGCGCCAGTGAGTGGCGGTGAGGCCGGAGAGGCCAGACAGGCCGGACTTTGGTCTCCACCCAGCCGGCCACCGGGAACCGGTGAAGCTGGCGTCACCGCCTGCCCTGGGGGAACCAGGACAAGCAGTTCCCAGGGCACCGACTGGCCTTGAACAAGCAGACGCCTGGGGACCCACTTTGCCCAGGGAAGTGACACTGGACTCTAGAGCAGGGAGTGCCCACAGCGAGCCAGCTCCTCCACCTCCCCCACCCCAGCTGGTGGCGCTTAGTGTCCGGGCGTCGTTTCGGCGCGTTGGGGTCCATTCCTGGGAATGAGTCTGTGTCCAAACTGCACCCAGAGCCCTCCGCCCGCGGCCGCTCCAGAGCGCAGAGGCAGACGGGGCCGGAGCAGGGTGGGAGGGGCGAGCCCGGGGCGCCCTCTGTCCCGCGCGGATCACTGGTTTGTTAGTCGCTTTTGAGCCCTGGCCTCTTGCCAACCGGAGCTCCCGAGGGTTTAGAAATGCCGGCTCTTATGATCTTTACACCCCTCGGGTTCTAGTTTCATCTCTGGTCTAGAGGCCGAGACACTCAAGCACAAGAAGGTGGGTGACCCCCGCGCCCAGCTCCTTCTCCCCCGCAACCCGGGAGCCCGCACCCCACAGTGAGCCCTCCACCAGGAGCTTTGCACCTGGGCCTGTCCAGGTCTCGCCTGCGCCCGCTCCCTGGCCTGACCGCCACCCTTCACCAGGTTGCAGCCCTGTTTGTCCCTCCCCTTTGGACACGGACACGGACACGGACACGCGGGGCGGCAGAACCGCTGCAGGATTTGGAGCCCAGCGCGGAGGGGGTGGCGGGCAGCCCTGAGAGGAGCTGGCAGGGTGCTGTGAGGACGCGGTCCATCGCGGGGCTCAGGGTCCATCGTGGGGCTCAGGGTCCCCGCAGGGGGCGGGGTGCCCAGGCCCTGACCTTCCTCGGCAGCAGGGATGGGCTGCCCGCCAGCAGCCCCAGGGGCCAGGGCGGGGCGCGGGCTTTGAAGGTGTCCATCTGGCCTGACTCAGGGGTAGCCGGACGAAGCTCAGGTGGACATGGCCTGGCCGCAGACCCCAGGCTTCCCTAGGCCTGCGGGACAGACACATTCCTGGTGGTTAAGAGTGAAACCATTGGCGGAGATGCTTTCTTAAAATCTGGGAGAGCCGAAACCGGTGTGGCTCAGTGGATAGGGCGTCGGCCTGCGGACTGAAAGGTCCTGGGTTCGATTCCGGTCCAGAGCATGTACCTGGGTTGCGGGCACATCCCCAGTGGGAGATGTGCAGGAGGCGGCTGATCAATGTTTCTCTCTCATCGATGTTTCTGGCTCTCCATCTCTCTCCCTTCCTCTCTGTGAAAAATCAATAAAATATATTTTAAAAAAAATCTGGGAGAGAAACCTGCGGATTTGTAGAGAACAGAGACCGCCGTTTCCTCGGGGTGGGGTGGGGGAGGGGCAAGTCTGTCAAGGTGCGTGGGTTACAGAACACTGGCCCCCACACGCACACCTGCCCCCGGGCCTTCCCTGCAGGTGGATGCGGAGACGGGACGGCAGGCTGTCCATCAGCCAAGGCAGCTCCTGTTCGCGAGACGGAAACAGGAACTGGTGGGAATGTGGTGGAGGGAGAGCAGGTGTCTGATGTGAAGACATCAGGGACCCCGATGCCAGCTCCCACAGACCTGGCAGCCGAGGCCCAGCCTGGGCGAGGGTCTCTCCTGCACGGGCTGCAGCCACAGGGGCGGGATGGGGCCGGGACCAGCCCAGAGGGGATGCAGGAAGCCGGCCCCCAGCTGGCCCTGCGCTGCCTCTGAGAAGCATCCTGGGTGAGACCTCTGAGGGTCTGGGCCACATGCGGCCATTGGGGTCGGAGGACAGGGGTGCTTGCTCCTGCCGGGGCATCCCACCTGGGCCCTCCTAGAGGCTCTGTCACCTGGACCTCCTCTTGGGGGGCCCCCAGTGAAAGGGGTCGGAGGAGGTGGGGAGGGGCCCTGCCCCCGGCTGCCCCGGTCCTCAGAGGGAAAAGACAGCGGGCCAGGCTCTGTGGAGTCGGAGGAGGAAGGGCAGGGCCCAGGGTCCAGGGTCCATCGGTAAGAGCAGGAGGCTCCCGCGGGCCTCCGCCAAAGCTCTCGGCCCAAGACCGAGCCGGGTGAAGGTTGCCAACGGCTGGGTGGCAGGGGCCATGCTGCCTTGGAGGGACTGGCCCCCTTCCCTGTGGTTCTGCCCAGGAGGTTCCTGGGACCCAGGCCGGGGGGGCAAAGCTGACAGAGCCCCGAGCCTGGGCTGCAACCTCCCTCCCGGTTTCTGGCTCGATCCCTAGTGGTCAGCGTGCAGGAAGCAGCGGATCGATCCTTCTCTCTCGATGTTTCTCTCCCTCCCTCTTCCTCTCTCTCTAAAATCAATAAAAATATTTTTAAAATAATAATAACAACGAGTCCTGGTCTGGTTTCCTGCAGATGCTCCTCTCGGCCCTACGTGGGGTTTCCGGCGCACCCGTCACAGCCCACTGTGGGCCCCCCAAGCAGAAATGTGTCATCCCCGGGGAACCCACAGCGACATGTCACCCTCGGGTGTGCACACAGGGCTGCCGGCACAGGGCCGCCCTCCAGCAGCACTGGTGCTCCTGCCCCGTGACACCTGGTGCTCCTGCCCCCGCCAGCTGCGCCTCTCTGTGCCCTCAGCCCTCAGAGCCTGGCATCACAAAGCAGGGGCTCCGGGCAGAAGAGGTGGCCTCTGCCTCCTCCTCCATCCTCTGAGCCATCTCTCCTCTGAGGAAATCCACTCTGGACTTGGGAGGTGCGGGCTGGGTGCTGGAGGGGACCTGGGAACGGTGAGTCCTGGACTCAGGAAGAGTGAGGGGAGCAGGGGAGCTGGGGAGCGCTCCTGTGCCCCACCCCCACCCCCATCCCCCCAGGGAGCGCGTGTCCATCTGATCCCACCTGCCAGGGGAAACCTCTGCAGGTGAGGGTGCAGGCCCTTGGGAGGGTGTGCCCTTCACCCCTGCGCTGGCCCCTCCCCTCTGCCAGCAGCTGGAGGGCGGGGAGGGAGGAGGAAGGTGAGTCCCACGCGGAAGTCAGGTAGGACCCGCCTGGCTACACCGGCTCGGGCGCTGAGCCGCCTCCATTGGTGGGTTTGACCGCGAGGGCTGCCAGCATGCAGGTGAGTCGGCTGCGCTGGGTCCCACCTGTGGCCCCTGCAGCCGCTCTGCGCTCTGCCCGCCTTGCCTGGAGAGGGCCCGGGGCTCCTGGGACCCAGGCTGGGGTGCGAGCGGACAGAGCCCTGAGCCGGGGCTGCAACTGCCATCCGCAGGCGAGAGGAGGGGGGCGCTTTCCCGGGGTCCCGGCGACTCCAGGGGGGTCCTAGTGAGTGAGTGGGGCCGAGATGGGCAGGCATGTCCGGCCCCAGGCCCCGCGGTGGGGGAGGACCCCCTCCCTTTTCTGGGCAGCTTTGCCCTGTAGCTGGTGCCTGAGGGGGAGGATGCCCTGGCCTTGGTTTTTTGGGCTGACCTTGTGGGGGGGAGCAGGGTAGCCGCTGAGCCCGCTGCTCCCTGGGTCCTGCCCCAGGCTGAGGTGGGTTGGCTGAGGGCGACTGGGTTCTGGTTTGGGGGGGCAGAGCAGCGGCTGTGAGGCGGGAAGGTGGGCAGGAGGGCGTCAGGAGGCACCCTTTCTCCCCTCTGCCCAGGGAGAGTCTGCAGGGCCCGGCAGCACCTGGGTGGCAGGGAGAGTGAAACCAGCCTCCCTGGGCCACCTGGGCCCTCCCAGGCGTGGGCAAGAGGCAGCCTCACGCCGCCTCCGCCGGCTGCCGGGCCCTCCCAGAGCAGGCGGATTTGGCCCCGGATCCCTCCCCTCGGGGACACCAGGCTCCCTGCTGGCCGCCCTCTGTGCTGGTCAGGCCCCTGCTGGGGGCGGGGAGGGGCTTGGGCTGCTTCAGGTGGGTGGGAGCCAGCACCTGGCTTGGCGGAGGGGAGAGAATTAACCCTGTGAAGGGCAGGTGCAGACGCAGCAGCCATGCCCAGCCCCCAGCTGGATCTAAGCACGCGCTTCCCCGGCCCAGACCCCGCCCAGGGCTCCCTGTTGCCCCCGCCCAAGTCCAGGCTGCCCGGGACCTAGCAGTCCTCCGAGGCCTGGCTTCTGCCCACCCTGCAGCCTCGCCTCTGAGCAGCTCCCTCTGCTCTTTATGCTTCTGCAAAGCTAGATGCTGAGGACCAAGTCCCCAGAAAGTGACTACCAACTCGCACAGGTGCGTGTGCCGGGTCCCTAGGAGCAAGTCCTCGGAGGTGCTGGGTACTGAGTCCCTGGGAGTACTAAGTACCAAATCCTCAGAGGTGCTGGTACTGAGTCCTGGGAATATGGAGTCCTGGGAGTACTAAGTACCAAGTCCTTGGAGGTTCTGGGTACTGAGTCCCTGGGAGCACTAAGTACCAAATCCTCGGAGGTACTGAGTGCTGAGTCTCCAGGAATACTGAGTTCTGGGGAGTACTAAATACCAAATCCTCGGAGGTGCTGGGTACTGAGTCCACGGGAGTACTAAGTATCAAATCCTCAGAGGTGCTGATACTGAGTCTCTGGACACCAACTGCATGCTCTCCTCAGAGCCTGCTTCCCTCTCCCAGGAGCTGCTCCCACGTCTTGCCTCCTGCCAGCCTCTTGCCCAACAAAACCAAGCTCCAGGCTACCCACCCTGCCAGCAGGTGCCGGCCCCTCCAGACCCCAGTGCCCACTTACACCACACGCTGCCAGGAGGGCTGCGCACAGGGAGGCCACTTCATCTGGGGGTGTCGGGGACGCATGGGCGGGCAGCACACAGAAGAAGGAATGGACAGTGGCATGCAGAGGGGTGGCTGCGGGAGGAGGGAGGGAGGGGGCAGGGAGGAGGGAGGGGCAGACCTGCTTCAGAAGCTGCGAGGCAGAGCCAGGGGGCGTCTGCTCAGGGAGGGTGGGGGCGGGGATGTCCCCTCGCTGGACGATGACACGTGCTTTCGGGGCTGAAGCGCCCGGGTGTGATGTGACCCTCAGAGATCGTGCGGGGAAGCCCACATGCATCCGTGTGCGGCTGAAGTGGTGTCACACGTGTGTGCTCCATGTAGCCCACCGGCCAGGCTGGGTGGTCCCTTCTGCCTGCTGGTGACCTGGAGCCAGATTGGAAGGGACGGACAGAGGGCGCTGCCCAGCCTGACCCTTGGCGGGTAGGGAGCACCCCCGAGTGTGAGTGTTCCCTGATAACAATCATTGGGACACACCAGACCCACATTGTTTACCTGAAACTCCAATGGCACGAGGCGGGCTTTGGCTTTCTGGAAGGGGCGTGCCTGAGCGGGCAGGAATGTGCTTGGCCAAGGGACAGGCTAGCAGGTGGGGCACCCGCAGCACCGAAGTCTCGGCCGTGGGCGACTGGTGTGAGGGCGGTGAGCCGGGCCTCGGAGGGCGGGGGCCATGGCAGAATCCTGGGGCCAAGGGCGGCCATGGTGGGAGGGGGTGCCCAGACCTGCCAGCAGTTGGCGTGAGGCGGGTCCTCTGACGGACACAGCCCCTAGATTGTCCCCCGAAACCCTCCTCCCTGGGGAGCTGCCACCGGGACGCAGGCTGAGGTCCCCGTCACCCGTGCCCACACAGCGTGCTCGGTGCTGTGCGGGGGCAGCAGGAGGCTGGGCGTGTGCCAGCAGGCCCCGGGGAGGGGGGGGCAGCGCTGTGGCGGCCAAGGCTGGAGCAGGTGGGAGATCCCGCCTGAGGTCGTGTGGCTCTGGGCTCCGAGGCCAGGGCCCCCGCCCTGCACCTCCGCTCCGGCTCTGACCGAGAACCTTGTCCCCACCCGCAGCGCCTGGCTCAGCCCACGGAGGGCCCTGGGTCACGTCTCAGTGCCCCACCCACTCCCGCTCCTCCCGCTGGGGGTTGAGCACGGAGTCCCCTGTTATCAGGAGTTATACACACAGAGCGGCCGCTTCCCCTCAGCCAGCGCCCGCGCCTGGGCCCTGGTCAAAAGGAGGAGCAAGGCCCTGTCTGGTGTGGCTCAGTGGATAGAGCGTCGGCCTGGGGACCGAAGGGTCCCAGGTTTGATTCCGGTCAAGGGCACATGCCTGGGTTGCGGGCTCGGTCCAACGTGCAGGAGGCAGCCGATCAATGGTCCCTCTCATCATGGATGTTTCTATCTCTCTCCCTCTCCCTTCCTCTCTGAAATCAACAAAAACATTAAGAAAAAATGAGGAGGTTGCCCTAACCGGTGTGGCTCAGTGGATAGAGCGTCGGTCTGCAGACTCAAGGGTCCCAGGACTCAAGGGTCCCAGGTTCGATTCTGGTCAAGGGCATGTTCCTTGGCTGCGGGCACATACCCAATGGGGAGTGTGCAGGAGGCAGCTGATCGATGTTTCTCTCTCATCGATGTTTCTAACTCTCTCTCCCTTCCTCTCTGTAAAAAATCAATAAAATATTTAAAAAAAAATTGAAGCCAGCACAGCCGCCTCAACTCCGACGCCACCCGCTTTCCCACGTCCCTGCCCGGTCAGTGCAGGACCCCGCGTGGCATGTGGCCACTCTGCCTGGGAGGCCCCCCTCCCACCTTGTCCTTGGCCCGTTGGGTCGGCTCAGGTCTGGAGAAGGTCCCTGTGATGTCTTCCATGCTGAGACGGGGCTGTAGGTTTTAGGGAGGGGACCACACACCCGCAGCGCATCCCTGGCCTCTCAGTGCCACCCGTGACCTTGACCTTCCCTGCCTGGTTTCTCCCCTGTGAAGTGACTCCTTGAGCCGCCCACACTCTCTGCATTGGCCACTGAGTGCAGCCCACACAGCAGGAGAGGATGAGGCTGCCCCTCCCGCTTCCCCGGGGCCGCAATAGTAGCGAGGCGCCAGAGGATCGCGAGGCCTGCACGTATCCGCTTCCTCCCTGGGGTCCGACGCAGCGTCTGTGTGTCTGTCCGGGACCTGCGGGTCCCCCTGGCCTTCGTCTCACGGAACTCGGTCACACGTCACGTTCGACCGCCACGCCTCGCGGGAGGAGCGGCCGGTTCGTGTGCCGGTGGCGTGATCTGCCCCACGTGGGGACACCCCGCGGCCTCCACCCAGCCACCCGCCGGAGGGAATGCGCGTTATTCCCACCGTTTCGATGTGCCCTTTGTGGCTGTGAGCGCCCTGGCCCTGTCTCCAGCCGGGGCCGGGCTGGGCTGTGGGGTGTCCAATTTGTTTACCAAATTCACATACCAATGTGTGCTCCTGGGCAACACGGGGGTCCTGCTGATGGCACTGTGGCCCTGAAAACGTCTGTGACCGCAGGGGTAGCAGGCGGCGGGCACCTCCGGCCACCTGGCCCATTTCCCGAATTTCTCGAGTTCCGAGTCTTCCCCTGTGCACGCTCCACAGCTGTGAAACCCCTGCTTGCGCCCTAATGGGTGTGGCTCCGTGGATAGAGCATCGGCTTGTGGACCAAGGGGTCCCGGGTTCGATTCCAGTCAAGGGCACGGACCTTGGTTGCTGGCCCCTCCTTGGCCTGGGCCGTGGTCGGGCACGTGCAAGAGGCAGCCCATGGGTATGTTTCTCCCACATGTTTCTCTCTGTCCCTCTCCCTTCCACTCTCCCTAAAAGATCAACGGAGACATATCCTCGGGTGAGGATTAGCAAAAACCAAACAAACAGACAGACACGCTGTGTGCACAGCAGCCTGTTTCACACGGCTGGGCTGTCTGTCTGTCCCTAGGGCTCAGGAGCCGCCGGCCATCTTTCCAAGGAGCTGCTGCTGGCTGGTTACCTGCCCTGCAGCCCAGGGACGGCCTCCTGTTTGCTTACTCCCCCCTCCTCCTCCCGTTAGAGTTAGAAACATCGATGAGAGAGAAACATCCACCAGCCGCCTCCTGCACGCCCCCCACTGGGGATGTGCCCGCAACCAAGGTACATGCCCTTGACCGGAATCGAACCTGGGACCCTTCAGTCCGCAGGCCGACGCTCTATCCACTGAGCCAAACCAATTAGGGCTCCCCCCGGCCCGTTATGTTTGAAACCCCTTTGTGGGGACAAGCTCAATCCTTCTCCCCCACCCTCCACCCCCGCCCCACAGCCCCAGGGTGAAGAGAGATTCCGGATCCTGGTGGGGACGGAAGGGGACAGCTACCCGCTGATGGACATGGACACTCCTGAGGTGAGTCTCTGCTCAGACCCTCTGGGCTTGGCCCCCTCCGTCCCACTCCCCATGCCCAGCCCACGCCTCCCTCCTGCAGCCTGATCGCCGCGACCAGACCCTGGCGGACTACGTCCTGGTGGCCGATTATCGCACCCAGAGGGACCCCAGGCAGGTCCACCGGCAGCGGCAGTTCCTGAAGGAGCTGCAGGCCAAGGGCTTCCAGTACAAGGTGGGCCGCCCGGGGGCCCTGGT